TATATATATATATATATATATATATATATATATGAGGTGAGGCATACAAATTAATTTACAAATGAAAGTATGCCTGGTACTTCTTTCAGGTTTACCAGGAGCTGGTAAAACAACACTGAGTCTAGCTCTGCAGAATCTCCAGCAACAGCAGATGGAGTGTATGGTGATAAGTTTAGATAAATCATCACATTACATAATAGATGCCGTATTGGAATTGGATGCATTTATGAATGAAAATGGGAAAAATAGTGAAGATGTCTTTACACCAGAACTGTGGCAAAAAGCTCACGCAGCTGTGCGTGAGGCGGTACACCAACAGTTACTTTGTTCTCTTCTAAAAGAAGAAGAAAAAGATAAAAAGAAGGGTTTGGTAATACGTTTTGTATTTCTTGTAGATACATTGCCATACAGAAGTATGAGGGCAGCTTACTGGAAAATATGCAGAGATATAAATCAAATGCAGCTTCTACAACAACAACAACAAGAACAATATGAAGAAAATGAAAATGAGAAGAAAAAAGAAGAAGAGGTTGTTGTGGTAAAGGAACCAATAGAATTGGAAATACCTTCTCTTGTTAGTATGATAGAAGTGCGACTCAATACACCACTAGAACTCTGTTTGGAGCGGAATGAAAAACGTATAGGAACTCCACAATATATTCCTGTTCATGTTATTAAAAATATGAATGAATCTTTTGATGTTGGAATAACTCCTTCTCTCATTTCAGTAGTGGAAGAGAATTGTTGGATGATATTATCTCCTCAAGCAACACCCTCATGGCCAGTGATTCAACTTAAGGATGAGAAGAGACACGCCTTACTTTCTTCATCTATGTTGGCAGATCAACTATTAAAACGTCTCTTTTCATCCGAGTTAATTGATGAACTGGAGAAGCAAAAAGTTTCCTTGGTAAAAAATGAAGAAAAAAGAAGAATAAAAAAAGAACATCAACAAAAGCAACAGGAACTATATACTTTGGATACGTTATCGAGGAAAAGATTGTTTCATCAATTGGATCTACGCATGCGTGAGGTTGTGCGGGAACATATGGAGTTTCGAAAGAAGTATGGTGGTATGAACCCCAGTATAGGAACAGAAGTAAGTAAGTGTAGAGAAGAACACTATACGTGGGTAAAGGCATTTCTGACAAAGCATGAAACTTTTCATTCTATGAGTGTAGACGAAAAGGATGCTTTGGTTGATGAATTATTACTGGAGTTTAGAAAGAAACTCTCAGAATTGTAGAGAATTGTAGTTTAAACTTAAACCTCAATAAATACACTTTATTATTATTATTTTTTTTTTTTACTCTTGTGATGTTCTTTTTTTTTTTCTTCTTTAGGGATGTGGAGGGGTTTCTGTTTCTATTTGTATTTGTGTTTTATTTTTTTCATTTTTGCAGTTTGTTATTTATTTATTTATTTATTTTATTCCTAATATCTGTGTATATGTTGTTGATTCCCTCTGGATCTAGTGAGTAAATGCTGAATGGGCTCGGTAGAAAAGTGTACATGCGTTGAAGATCCACACAACGTGGGAATTCTCACGGAGGTCCTGCGTTACCAAAGCGCATGTCAGTTGGCGCAGCAACTCGCAGATCTCACAGCAGAGGAACTTCACTCCGATCGCCACGAGAGTAAAGGTCTAATGACGGCAGTTATTTTTGAAGGACTCAAAGCCGCTGCAGTTGCCACTCCTCCTCCTCCACCTTCTACAATTAATACTAATACTAATACTAAAACTATTAGTAATAGTAATACTAATAGTATGGGAAGAAACTGCACGTGGGAGGAGTCTACACGCACTTGGGTCCACCCGGTGTTGGATGTCTATCGTCGGGCGCGTGTGTACGAGGCGGGTAGCGATAACGTCACATCAGTTCAAACACTTGAGGGTGTTGTGCTTGCGAAAGGATGTGTGTTAGGTGTACTACGCAGTGAGTCCACTAACAAAGAACAGGGACAAGAACAAGAAGAAGAAGAAACAAAACGTGAAGTTCCGTTGGAAACATTGAAACTCGTTGAACCGATATCACTCTATCATGATGCGTTATTACCGGCGTTTGAGTGTATTTCAGCACATCGGGCCTCACGTAGTGCCGTGCATTGGTTTCTTGAGAAACTCTGCGGTGCCCCAACCAAACTTCTCACGTCATTTAATCAGAAACGCCGACGTGCTTGGGCTCTCGCAGATCGTCTGACAATTCTTTTCTTCGAAGAACGCAGACGTTTAGCGAAGATGAAGGAACGTCTGGTGCGAGAATCCGCTGCGGGTATTACCCTTAAATATATTAAACTTGTTTCAGCTGAAGAGGAAGAAGAAGAAGAAAGGGATGGTATGATGATGCTAAAAATACACATTCAAGATAATACTGAGGATAAATGGTTTTACAATGCCTGTATGGGACAAAATAAACCAACGAATCTTTATGATATTCACATCACATTGCAGATACGTACGGAACATGTGGAACGACTACGGAAGTTAGCGGCCTGTTGTGTGGATGAACACTTTCGTATGGCGTTAGCCCTTTTGTTGTTACGATATGCCGGTTTGAGTGGTGGAAAGTGGGAACAAGAATCTGGATGGCATGCGGGAGTACCGTCAAGTGTGTTTGATGTACTTGTTTCTACTTTTCATGTTAGAGCCGAATGTTTTGCGAGTCCGTTGAATAGTACACTTCCACAGTACTTCTCTGCATTCCCAGATACCGATTCATTTTTTGGATGTTGTGGTAACTTCTTTAATTCGGATGAAGTCTTACAATTAGGGGAATCCAATCCAAATGAAAAGACGGAAAATAAAGGTATACTCTCATTAGAGGCAAACCCACCATTTGATCATGAAGTGATTGCCGCTGGATTGAGACGTGCTTTGGAGTATTTAGAGAAAATACCTCCAACCATACCACTTTCATTTGTATTCATACTTCCAGATTCTACACAAGCCAATGGAATAGCGGTACGTCAGGAGGCGGAGGAAAGTCGCTTCTTTCGTGGTGGTTGTGTACTCTCACCGCAGCAATCTATGTATGTTCATGGAGCTCGTCACATTGTTCGCACTGCAGATAACAGAAATGGAAAGAGTTTAAATGTTCACAAGCGTCGGCGCAGTCCATCGCCTACGAACGATGAACATTTAGTGGCATTATCATGTGCAACAAGAATTTTGGTTTTACAGAATGATAAAGCGGCTACGATGTTACCAGCAGAGGTGGGATTAAATAAAGTGCGATCCGTTTGGGAAAGTCTCTCCTCTACTCGTGGTGTGCAATGAGATATGTGTATGTGTATGTTTGTGTGTGTGGCTATTAAATACATTTTGTTTTTCTTTTCTTGTTGTTGTTGTTTTTTTTTTCTTTTTTGCTTTCTAACGGTAAACTGAGAGTGTTCAATACACTAGGTAAGAAATGATAAACTCTTATTGGTTACTCTTTATATCTTTTTTTTTCCATTCTTTCATGTTTTTTCTTCTTCTTTTGTAGGTTGAATTATACAAATACTTATATTTATTTTCTTTTTCTTTTTGTTTATTATTATTATTATTTTTTTTCGTGTGTTTAACATAATAAAGAGGAGGGGGAAATGATGAGAGCATGTCAAACATCAGATCCCGCCATCTTGAAGAGTAAAAGTAGTGAGAATAGAAATAAGGAATCTCATCATCACTCGTGCTGCTCTAATACCACAAAGCCGATAGAGACAAATCAGGGAAAAAGTGAACAACTTCCCCTTTATACCAGATATGAATCGTGTGTGCCAGAGTATCTTAAAGGAAATCCTTATATTATTACGGGATATCGAGCACAATACACAACCCATATGTGTATTCGCAGTCTTCTTAAACTTCACAATGAAACCTTTAATATCTGGACACATGCTATTGGATTTATTGTATTTTTGGTATTGTCTTTCATTCTTTTTATTACTGCCCTCTTATTTACAGGATATTTCATACACTATATTGTATATGGAGTGTTTTCTTTTGGTTGCCTAATGTGTATGGCCTGTAGCACAATTTATCATTTATTTTCAAGTCATGAAAACCCAACCTTTACATTTATAACCCAACAAATGGATTATTATGGGATTAGTATACTTATTGTGGCTAGTTTTATTCCTCCTCTCTATATGGGTTTTTACTGTGATCCTTTTTTTCAAATACTTTACATTACTGCCATATGTATATGTGGATCTGTGAGTCTTACAGTATTATCATGGCCCAGTTTTTCTAAAAAGGATGATCGTTGCTTACGTACTTGTATTTATTTGGCTATGGCAGTTACTGGTGTTGTCCCACTTGTGCATATTTTTTTATTTTATCCACATAATGGAGAAACTCTACAATTGTTGGGTGGTATTATTCTTATGTTTATTCTTTACAGTGTAGGTGTTTTATTCTACGCCCTTCAAATACCAGAACGGTGGTATCCCGGTGCCTTTGATATATTTCTCAGTAGTCATCAAATTTGGCATGTGTTTGTGCTTGCCGCTGCCACTGTACACTTCTTCACTTGCAGTGCACTTTATCAACAGTGGGAAGTCAGCCGTGGGGCCTGTTAAGAAGAGTACATATATATAGAGATATATATATATCTCCAAGTTGGTGAACGATATTCTTTTTGTTTATGTTTATGTTTATTATTATTATTATTATTATTATTATTATTATTATTATTATTTTAATGAAGAAAAAGGAAGTCTTTCATGTAGTGTTCACTGTTTGTAGAAACTAATGAAAAGAATCTGTTACCAAATGAGGCCTAGAAATAAATGAGGCATGACATTCATTTTATCTTATTAATAGTTTTTATTTATTTATTTTTATTTTTATTTTTCCTTACCATTGATTTTGTTGATGATTGAATGATCGAGAGAAATAAGACTTGGAAGAACGACTTGAATGAGTCAAAAAAAAAAAAAAAAATCTTTCTGTGTGTACTTTTACCCTTTTATTATTATTATTTATTATTAGTTTTACTTTTATCTGCTTATAACAAACTATACTACATTTACTACTAGTAAATACAAAAGAAAAGAAAATAAAAGAAAAAAAAAACATGATGGATTTAAATCATACGAAATGTGGTAATGGTGTTTCTACAACCCTAACAAAGAGTACTCACAGTAATCCGAATGAACCAGTACAACAAGAACAAAGGGAATTGGAAGAGAAAAAGAATCTCTCATCTCGCGGTGTTAAACCAACTCCGTATAATGATAATCCTGATCTTCCACTCTATATGATAGATCAAGTCCCAAAACATCTTGCGGATAACAAATACATTATCTCAGGATATCGCTTTGATTATACTACACGTATGTGTTTTCGAAGTATATTTTCACTTCACAATGAAACGTTTAATATTTGGACCCATCTTGTGGGGTATATGGCATTTCTTGTCGTTATTACTATCTTTTTTGCCGTTGTGTTAATACCTTCGTTGCGGGAAGAACAACGAGAAACGATGAGATCTACGGAAGAAGTTTCTGGGATTAATTGGGTCACAATTTTTATCTTGGGTGCTTTTTCTTTTGGATGCTTAATGTGTATGCTTTGTAGTACTCTCTTTCATACACTTATCCCTCATGAGAGTATGGTATTATATGCATGGGCACATTCCTTGGATTATTTTGGTATTACTTTTCTTGTGGTGGGTTCATTTCTTCCCTTTTGCTATTTTAGCTTTGCATGTGAACCATTTTGGCGTTGGACGTATTTAACTATGATTTTATCATTTGGTGTTATTGGTGTTCTTGGCCCTTTTTTCCGACAGTGGACCCAACAACAACATGCTAAGCGAAAAGTTTTATTTTATGTTTGTATGGTGGGAAGTGGTCTTTTCCCGATTATTCACATGTATGTGTTACTCCCAGGAAATGTGGCTTCCTCCTTTGTAGAGGGACTTCTCTTGATGATGACATTATATGGAGTGGGTGTTGTGGTTTATGTTTTTCAAATTCCTGAGTTTTTCTTTCCAGGGCATTTTGATATTTTTTTGAGCAGTCATCAGATTTGGCATGTCTTTGTGCTGGCGGCTGCCTTTGTACACTTCTTCAACTGCGCATCCATGTACATTAACTTTCAGAGAATGGATCTCAGTTGCTGAAGGGGGGTGGGAAAAGGAAAGAAAGTAGTAGTAGTAGTTATTTAAATGAAGGAGAGAGACAGAGAGCAAGTGATTAGACATTGTGGGCTTGTGTCACTCATATATAAAAAGTTGTCATCATAAGTTTGGAATTCGTTTTTTTTTTTTTCTTTTATTATTATCATTTTTTTTTGATCGTTTTTACATAATCCCTGATTTTATCATGAGTCTATGCATAAGAGATTGAGAACTGTTCTTATTATGATGACTATGAATTGCTGTTAATCACTATGCAGTACGTGGAGTACACACATATAAAATATATATACATATATATATATATACAACTTTTCCCCCTCAACACACCTTCAACTCTTTCATGTAATGAAATAAGGGGGAGAAGGACAAGAAAAAAAAAAAAAACAGGAAGAATAATTAAAGAGGGGGGAAAAAAAAGAAAGTTCTTCTCGCAGAGTGTTATTTACACGAAATAATAAATGGCAGATGAGGCCCTCTCTCGTGTAATGGTCACTCTACAGCAGTATGAACATCAACGAGAGAATGCCCAACTCATCCTGCGACTCTTAACAACCATGACAGAAACACTAGAGGCCACTACAAGTAGTAATGATCATCTTATTATGGGATCAACGGAAGCTGCATCTATACTTCCATACTCCCAAACTACTACTACAAGTACTAATACTACTATTATCAACACACAAACACAAACACTGTCACCTGGACTTGCGGAAGTATTACACACATTGGCCAAATCACAATATACCATTCATGCCGCTCTTACACGTCTCTCTCTGCGTCTGCAGACAACAAACGGACGTGTGCAGCGTCTCTCAGCAGCGGTGTGTGAAGGACGACGATGTGTGGAAAAACATCATGAGGCACAGAGACGTTCTAGTGCCCTACACGCCGTTGCGTTAGCGGTGCTATCCACAATTGTGCGTATGGGTTGTCATAATAATAATAATAATAATAATAATAATAATAATAATAATAATAATGGCAGTTCAACAGAAAAAGAAGAAAAAGAGGAAAAGATATCTCTGCCGTCTGCGTGTATGGCGCTGCGGGAGATGTGGTCTGTTGGTGAATCTCGAGTGGCCGCCGCTGTGCAGAATAATGCGGATGCCCCGCAGCAGACAACATGCCGATTGCTGCGGTCTACACTCTTAACAACACTCGCGGCGCGGCGTTGGTTTCCATCGCAGTCTGTTCATCAACAACGGCGAATTGTGCGGGATTTGTGGTATGATGAGATGCGTGCAGCAGCGGCGGCGCGGCGAGTGCGGTGGGAACGACACGAGAAAATGGCAGGGTTTCTGATGGACGATGAATGGCTCTAGTTTTCTGGTAATAATAATAATAATAATAATAATAATAATAATAACAGTGTGTAAAGAAGAAAGAGTGGGTGTGGGGATATTAACATGAAGCAGAGGTAAGTGAGGATGATGGAGTCACTTTGGTTGTTTTTTTTTTTTTTTTTTTTTTTTTTTTTATTTCCTTTATTTCTCGTCTTTTCTTTTATTTTTATATGTAATGTTGTGGGATCCGTATTCACAGATTAATGGATTATTGAGAAATAGTTTTTGTTTTGTTTTCAGAAAGTATGTTGTTGTGGTGGGTTATTATTATTATTATTATTATTATTATTTCTCTGGTCTCTTAGGGGTATGTGTGTTTCTGTTCTTGTATTCTGATTATTCGATACTGCCGATAATCGATGGTATTGATTGCGGTATGGATTTATTAATATCATTTTCTATTTCTCTCTCTGTCTCTATCTTTCTATCTAAACTTGATTCACAACCACATATAACTAAGGTGAAGGGAAGGAAAGGGAAGAAACGATTAAGGATCAAAAAAAAAGAAGTAGAAGTAAATACATACATAAATACATACATATAGGTATATACACAGGTAAATATATATATATACATATATTTATATATACACTTATTTATTTATATACGCAAACAAACGCCTGAAATAAAGGCGTGGCAGGAAGAAGAAAGAACAGATTAATAGTGGTGAAATAAGGTTGGATAAAGTGAGTGGTGACGTAACATCCGCTCGTATCTCGTTCATTCTTCTTCTTTTGTCATTCAAGGCGCTGTTTTTTTTTTTTTTTTTTTTTTTTTTTTTTTTTTTTTTTTTTTTTTTTTTTTTTTTGGTACGCTGCACTACTCTGACTAGTTGCGTGTATCTGGTTTTCTAGCTGTTTTCTTATCTTTTTTTTTTTCATTACTTTTGCGTTTATATATATATATATATATATATCCATTGTTGTTATTATAGTCAACCCTGATCTGTTGTTTTTTTTTTTTTTCGTCATTGTTGTTTTTGTTACTTTGAGTACGGTTTACATTTTTCCTTCTTAAGTTTCATATATCTGTATAGATATATATAGTTATTGCGGGTTTTCATCACGAACTAAAGAAACCAGCGAGAGAGGTAGTGAAGGGACAGATTGAACTTAAGAAGGTATAAAAGTATTCGAGGAAGACAAGATATATACAAAAGGATAGAGGGAAAAGAACAGACGGGTGGATAAAAAGGTTAAAAAAAAAAAAAAAAAAAAAAATGAATGGGAAATAATTGGTGAAGCGGAAGAAACATAAAGAGTATAAAATAATAGCCGTCAAGTTCCTCTTCACCTGGTGCCAGAAAACAATACACTAGAAGGTAAATAAAAAAAAAAAAAAAAAAAAAAAAGAAGGACGGATATTTAAAAGGGACGTGGGACACAAAGAAATACTGGAAAAATAAAGGAAAAAAGGAAAAAGAACCAAGCCCTTTCTTAGAGAATATATATATACATATATACAGAGAGAGAGAGAGAAACATCAAAAAAGAAAAAAAAAAGAAACTGTTGTCCTTTCAGTCTCTCTTTTTTTTGAGTATTTTCGTTTTTTTTTTTTTCACATTTAAAAAAACCCTGCACGATTGAAGTAGAGAGACAGAAAAAGGGAGAGAGAGAGAGAGAAACAGAAGCACTTTAATTAATTTGCATATAGTGTGAATTTGATTTCTCTCTCTTTGCACTTTTTTCCCCTTGTGCTTTTTTTTTCTTTTTTTCTTTTTCTTTTCTTTCTTCGCTAGGTGTCTCTTTCTCTTCTTTTCTTTTCCCATTTCCGAGTTCCATTGAGTGATATTCGGTGTGCTGGCTGCTGCAATTAGGACGGGTGGTAAGGTTCATAGCAGGAAGGAAACAAATAAATTTGTGCGTCTTTTCTCTTTCTGCAATTGGGTGAAGGGAAGGGAATTTTTTTTTTTTTCCTTTTGTTTGTTTGTTTGTTTGTTTGTTTTTTGCTGGAACGAAAAGATAAATCTGAAATCGTACCAATCTAAACAAGAAAAAGGAAAAGGAAATTTTTTTTTTTATTGAATTGCAGTCTCTATTTACGAGGGGGATTTTTATACTGATTTTTTCTTTCTACTTCGACTCAGACTGACTTGCGTGTTTTTTTTTCCTTTTCTCCCTTTCGTGTTGTGTTTTTCTTCTTTTGTTTCCTAATTTATTGGATTTATTGCTGAAGAGTTTCGTGCTTTCGTGATTGTTCTTTTTGTTGTTGTTGTTATAAATACCGAATTTATTATTTTTATTTTTGGAGGGGTAACGTTCTCTCCTTTCTATCTCCTCCTCTACACACAACGCCGATTACCGGTCGATTTGTGTGGTTGTTTGTGTAATTACTGTATTACGGCAGACACCCTTTTTTTTTTCTTTTTTGCGACTTTTCAAAGGCGCGCGAGAGAAAAAAAAGAGAGAGAGGGAGAGAGAGAGTTGAATTGTTTCTAACGGAGTGTGTTTGAGGGGCTTTTTGTTTTTGTTTTTGTTTTTGTATTCATATCGCCCGAAACAGAGAACCAAAGAACGTCAGACCCGTCCTTTTTTATTATTATTGTTGTTATTGTTATTCTGTTGAATAACCTTTATATTGCACCGCGACAGTAATAAATAATAATAATAATAATAATAATAATAATAATAATAATAATAATAATAACAGTTGAAACTATATAATGGAGAAGCCTTCTTCACCACCTACGGTTGGAGAAACCCTATCAAGATCAACATCAATGACAGGACCTCTAAAGTCATGTGGTGATAAGTCTAGCATGGCTACCAATATAACAACAACAACGACAACAACAACAACAACTGCTACTAATTGTAAAACTAATACTTCTAATGCCATAACTACAAGCAGTGAAGACCATCGCGGCGTTGCGGAGAACAACTTTTCTACTAAACCAGCATTCAGCGTTGGCGACAGCACACTTCGGCGTGTTCCTCTGAATATGTTACGCAATCCTGTAAGAGTCACGCCTACGATAACAGCAACGGATGAGGAAACGAAAAAAGAGGAAGATGGTGAGGATGAAGATGATAGAGATGTACTTGTGAGTACGGTAACCGTTCACCCTCGCTACAGACATCACCCAACACATTCACAGAGCAGTTTGTCTTTTCATAATGGCAGTGCCTACTCCCCATCACACTCTCGAATGAGTAGTCGGGAACAATTTTCGTGGGATTCATTGGCATGGAAAGAAGCAAATGTGGATTTTACATTTTCTTCTGATCCTGCACGTGAATATCTACGACTCAGACGTGTCTCTACGGAGTGTTCTTTAAGTCTTCAAGACTCATCTATAGAGCCTCAACCTCGAAGGCATACACGTTCTTTTGCTGCATGGGATAAAAATGAGGTGGAGGCACTTGGAGAACATGCGGATAAAGAAAAGGAGATTTCCAGTAATCATCACGGAGATGTTACCCCAATTGGTGTATTAGATGTAAATGCGGAGTCTACCTTTGAAACAGCCCCACTTGGGCATCAACACACCTTCAGTCTTCCCAGTCACAGAGATGTCTCTATGTTTAGTGGCGAGAGTGAAAATGATGATCCTGCGAAACGGGCTGAGAGAGGAGGAAGTGCTGGTAGCGGTAGTGCTGCTGTTGGGGATTCTGCTGTAAAAGGACCGTCGATGACGCATGTGATTGTAACCTTTAAACATTTATATGGTATCTATTATGTTCCAATAAGTGAACGGCGGACATTTGTTGTGGGGGATCTTGTCTCTGTAGAAAGCCATACAGGTGAAAATACTGGCAGAGTTTTATGTGATCTCACAGATGCAATAGGAAATATTTCTCAATTACCGAAAGAAGTAATATGGCCAGAGGATTCTTCACAACCGCTTGAATATGTGGATCCTGCTACTAATAATGAAACACTCCTGCGACTTCCTCGAGTTATACGTAGAGGAATGAACAAGGGTAAAAAACGATTATACTATGCTCGTCGTCGTGATACGGAAGCATTTAATGTTTGTCAACGGTTAATACGTGAACGAGGATTTAATTTAAATGTTTCCAGTGTGGAATATCAGGTGGATTTTAAACGTATAACAGTTTTTTTCGCAGGAACAAGGTCTAGTGTAAATGCGACAGAACTTATAAATTTTACACAACAACTTGCTGGACATTTACGTGGCTCAGCAGTGAGTGTATTATTTTCAAGTGAGTCTCCCGGTTCTCTGGAGGTCACCCAAGCTATTACCAATGGGATTTTCAATGATATCTACGCAGAAGCCATGGCGAACAGTAAAAATACAGAAAACTCTCAAACGCAGGCTCAAGCACGATCACCGCCACCCCCACCGCCGCCGCCACCCCCACCACCACCGCCGTTATCACAATCCGCCGTTCTTCATCCCGCACGTGCGGCTCGTCCCTACCCGGACAGCACATTAAATCACATGAGCACGCAGCCAATGATACCGATGTTTAATGTCCAGCCCTCCGTCCCACCGCGGCATCCAGTGATGATGACAGCATTGAATATGAATGCCATTTACGGTATGAGTGGAATGCCGCACGTCACTTGGGGAACACCAACACCACCACCGTATATGGGGCATCCACGTTTACCACCAGGAATGACGGGGAGAATGTAGTAAAGTTTATGATTATAGTTTGTTGTGGAAAGTTGGGCTTGAGAAGGTTTTCTTCTTTTTTTTTTTTCTTGCCAAAGAAAGAAAGAATGAGAAAAATGTTGAAGTTGCAGATTACAATTATGCTGAGCACAAAAAAAAAAAAAAAAACATATAGTCAGAAAAAAAAAAAAAAAAAAACATATAGTCAGGTTTAATAAATAAATGAATAAAAAAAGAACGAAAAAGAAGAAGAAAGAAAGAAAGAAAAAAAAAAGTATATGTCTATACTTTTATGGGAAAAATGAGGAAGTAAATCGAATGGATAGTCTAAAAGTATGAAAGATAAAAAAAAAAAAAATCAGGAAAATACCTGTTCCCTGTGTTTGATGCATAATCAACGAATGCGAGATAAAATTAGAAACGTGATTGAATAATTGGTCTAACAAAAAAAGAAAAAAAAAATGCCATGAATATCAACAACCCAATACAAAATAATAAAGAGCTAATGTGCGTTCATTTTTATTGATCTTCTGCTTTTTAATTATGAGTAATATATGGGGTGATGCCATAAGGGACCTCGGCCAGTCTCGTAAAGGGGGGAAGGGAGGAGAAGTGAAAGAAGAAGAGGAAGGCGATTCAGGTAGAACACCTAGGAGGAAATGGAAGAGATAAAAAGAAAAAAAAAAAAAACAGAAAATGTGCTTCTGTTGCTCAATTTTTTTTCTTTTTTTCTTCTTTAACTTATTCTATTCTTCCTGTGTGTTTTTGGCCTTTTTTTTCTTTTACTGCTTTTTATCATGTCATAAATCGTCTATTTTGCAGCATAGTGTGTAACACTTGGTGTTCTTCTTTCCCTTTTTTTCTGCAGAGCTTTATTGCCAAAATATCTCTCAATGTGCTCTCCTTTTTTTTTTCTTTTGTCATTTTCTTTTTCTTCTTTTGCCAAAGTGCAGCAATGTGTACAAGAAAAGGGGATTCGTTGTTATAAAGTGACGTAGGCGAATCATTCTCTTGAAATTTTTGTGCATTTTCTTCTGTATAGAGGCAAGTAATTCTCTGTTCGTTTGATTGCTTGTATGTATGTGTGTGTGTGAGAGAGAGAGAGAGAGAGAGAGAGAGAAAGAGAGAGTTTGTGTGTGTCTGTATTTATTTGTTCTAAATTGCAATGACGAGAGTGGCTTTCTCTCTTTTCCTCTTTTTTTTTTTTGGTTTTCTTTATTCTTATTGACTTTTCTTTTTTCTTTTTTTTTTTCTTCTTATTTTTGTACTTCCCCCTACCAATAAAAAAAAAATTAATTGTATATATAAACAAGTAAGAACAAGAAGAATTTGTTTTCCCTGTCACTTGAGAAAGAAAGAAAGAGAGAGAGAGAAAACAAAATCAACAGACAGAGAAGATTCCCTCTGTTTCTAACAAACACACACACGCACATCAACACTGATGCTCGTCTCGCAGCGTATTGCGGCTCTGCAGCGACTGCAGCTCCGACTCCGCCGCGCTACAGGAGATAAACAACAACAACAACAACACTATGGAGATACTGTACAGCAGAAACTTCTCTTTCGTCACATTCCGATTGCCTTGTCACTACTCGAGCGCAGTCTTCTTCCCATATTGGGAACGGGAAAAACACGACAGTCCACATCTACTATGGAAAACAAATATATCCCGCTTTTCAATAAGTTTGAAAGTCTTTCAACTCTAACAAAAGGTAGTGAGCAGCAATCGTTATCAAGTAATAATGTAGTCCTTAGTTATGATAGTAGTGATATGGTACAAAGGCCGGAAACAAACTCTGCAGCTGTAGAGTATATTACTTCTAATTCTTCTTATTCGTTACAACAAGTACAAAAACAAACTCAACAGCAAAGAAAACATATTTTGGGGTATCCAAGTCAAATGTTACACTTATTTTCCTCTCTACACTTTCTAGAGCAAGAGAGACGAAAACTTTATCGTCATCATTTAAATCGATTAGAATCAAAACTGTTGGTGTCTGAAAAGGAACTGCATTCTCAGCAAAAACGGCGACAAGATGCTACTGTGTTAGCCGCCGCACGTCAGTCTGTTAGTGAGGTAAAAGCCGATATAGAGCTTCTTAGAGATTCTCTTCTTTCACGCTCCTATATTTCAGCTAGACTTTGGCGGTTTCTATTACGTGAAGAAATATGGCTTTCAGCGTTAATGGAATCTCAAGAAAAGAAAAAAGATACATATGGTAGTAGTATTGGTGTTGGGAATACGAAATCTGTTCTTTTAATGCTTCTCTCTCTCACTCGTATTAGTCTTGGTGTATTGCAAGATGTTTTGCAAGGACACTCACTTAACACTCGTGCCCCTCGCTTTGTGGCTTCACTTCCCTCACGTAAAATAAGACATGGAGTTAAATCACATACCTCTTTGAAAGATACAGAGAAGCAGCAGAAGAAAGATGATGATGATGGAGTATTGACAAATGCGGTAATAAAACCAACAACTCATGTGGAGGATAATGAAGTAGATGATATGATGGCGATGATGATGATGATGACAGAAACAACAACAACAACAGAAACAATGACATCTTCTGTAAAGGATACCATACCGAAGGATAAAGATAATGAAAAAGAAGAGAAATCACTATCATCATCTTTAATAACATCTAAAACAGGTGTAAAAAACAAAAATGAAAAGGCAGCACTCATGCGGTTGCGTTGGTTACCTCCATCATCTTGTGATGCTATTCCGTTGGTACTTGAGACATTAGCGATGTGTTCTCATGTTCTCTCTGCACTTGATAACCACAACACATTATTATTATTATCAAACCTTGAAGAAGCAACAGAACTGTTTGAACTTCTCTCAGTTCTTCAAACTACTGCCTCATTGCTCTTAGCATTGCCTGTTGATGAACACTCTTCTGAGGTTACTTTACATCGTACACTGCATCATTTGGAGGATACTATGCTGAAATGTGCCAATAGTGCGAAGGAAGCTCTCATCACGCAAATGAATGGTGAAATGGAACCTTTGCCTCCTGTTAAAGCTGCACGTCTCTTACTTGGTTTGAACTCTATGCAACTTATTCACACAGAGGAACGAGTCTCGCAACAGCTACTCACACAATTTGTCTTGCAAATATTTCCACAACTCTCAACAGGGACACAAAGGGCGTTACTTGAGAAATCGAGACAAAATTCTCTCTTTGCCTTCGCAACAAGAGGACAACGAGCAAAGTTATACCGTGATCATAGTCGACAGGAAGTGGAGAGTACTCTCTTAAATTCCGTCCGAGTTCGTGCTCGTTTACAACAGCGACAAATGCAGGCAGCACTTCGTACAAAGTATCTTGAATCTGTTAATAACAGAAGTGTTGGACAATTGGCAGATAGTCTTCCTGTATATTCTCTTATTTCTCTACTCCACCTCTTAGCACGAACTGCAAATGATACAGAAAGACGAATGGAAGTAGTAGATGCACAAGGACGTTTGATAACAGCTGCCCTTTTTGTTGCAGAAGCTATTATGATAGCAGGAGCTCATCGTTCTTCTTCTTCTTCTACGGATGAGAACGCCTCACTGATGTTATTACCAAGTGATTTACCACCTCTTCTTTCAGCTCTTAGTGTACTTTGGCAACTTTCATCCGAGCGATATCAATTAATGCGGCATTCAAATAATAGTCATAACATTCGTCAGTCAAAACGGATGAAACAAGAAATAATGAGTGATTCAGTGGCAAAATCAGAATTTATTATGGTCTCCTATATCACAGAAGTTGTTTTTAATGCGGTGAATGCTGCCATCTCCGAACGTGTGGAAAGGGCAGAGGCAGAGGCAGAGGTAGTAATGTCAGTAGCGAAAGGGAAAGAAATGGATGGAAATCACCTACTCTCTTTGAAGGATATGATTGCCGTTATTGCGGCACTTTCCGAGTGGTGTGATCTCCCACCTAACAAGAAAAGTACCGCCAACGTGGAGACTTCTGCTCGTCTCATAAAGCGATTACTAATTTCTGATGTACAATTGTGGAGTGAGTTGCGTGGTTTAAGTGAATCGCGACGTGAGGCATTTTTGTCAACATTACGTGATGTTATGCGTCGATCAAACATGATGGATGCAGTTGTTTCAAAAGCACTCTCAGCAATTTGTTGAGCAGTGCCAATGAAAGGAAGAAGGAAAAGAATATGACAGTTGGGTGTTATTATTATTATTATTGCCCCACTTGTTGTGTCTACAATCGATTAAAATTTATTCTATTACCCAGGTGGGGTCCCTTTTATTATTATTATTATTATTTATTTATTTCTAGGTTATAAACGTACTGTATCGTTGTGGAATCTCTGGATAATTTCACTTTATTGTTTTCTTAGTGTATTTTAATCTCTTTTATAATTCTTTTTCTATTTGTTTTGCTTTCTTCGCTGTCACGTTTATTATTATTAATTATTATTATTGGATTACATAGATATTACGCAAAAACATATATTTAATATACAGAATATATATATATATATATATATATATATATATATATATTTTTCTTCAAGGAAAGTCTTTTTAACCTTTCATGACCTCAAAATTATTTGCATGGTCGTGCCGTCTTGGTGTTCTTGGCGTACTCGGAGCGGCGGTGAACTATAAATACACTTATGAGAATATACCAAAAAATATAACACAGACAACCTCTTCTCTTACGGAATTTTCAAAAAGCAGTAACAGAGAATTTTACGATGTTGCTGTAGTGGGAGGTGGAATCGTTGGTGTGGCCACTGTACGAGAAATACGAAAACAATTCCCTTCAAAACGTGTTATTTTACTGGAGAAGGAAGCTGATGTGGCGCAGCATCAATCCAGTCATAACAGTGGTGTTGTGCATGCAGGTATGTATTATCCACAGAACTCACTCATGGCTCGTTTGTGTCCGAGAGGTCATGATCTTATGATGGAGTACTGTAAAAAAAATAAACTTCCTTGTGAACGTGTTGGAAAAATTATTGTCGCATCAAAAGAAGCTGAAATTCCTTTAATTGAAAAATTATACAAACAAGGTGTGGATAATGGTGTACGAGAATTAAAGATGCTTCGAAGTGAGGAAGAAATTAAGGCGATAGAACCAAATGTAAAAGGTGTATCGGCTTTATATTCACCAGATACAGCCATTGCAGATTTTAGTGCAGTAGCACGTCACATGTTAAAAGAACTACAAACTTCTGCACATGGTTTCTTTAATACACAATTTCGTTTTGAAGCATTAGACTTTGTGGGATTATCCGTGCGAAACCCTACAAAGGATGTGCCAGAGGAAATGGTTCTTATTCGTGGTCGTGAGGAAGGTCAGCTTGGACCTGAAAAAGTTATTGTAACCAAAAACGTGATCACATGCTGTGGACTATCTAATGATCTTCTTGCTCGTCGCTCTGGTAATGTACTGGGCCGTATTGGTAAACGAGTGTCGCAGACATTCAGTTTCCGCGGTCGTTATTATCAATTGAAGCCGGAGGCACGTGGACTTGTTTCTATGAATGTGTATCCCGCCCCGGATGACTCCAAGGGCCTCAGTGTGGGTGTTCACTTTACACCAACGGTGGATGAACGACGTGGACATCAAGTTATTATTGGACCTGGATCGGCAATTACAACACACCGCTACGGCTATTCCCCATATTGTTTTGATGTTGAATACTGCTGGAACTCCATGTTTAGCAAGGGAGGATGGGTGAGTCTCATGTCTAATTTCGTTACGGTGTTCAAGACATTCCGGGTGGATGCTAGTCGAAGTGCTTTTATTCACGAAGCCCGCAAGTTGGTGCCCTCCTTGAAAGACTCCGATGTGGAAGACAGTTTCTGTGGAGTCATGGGTGTTGCCGTGACGGAGAATGGAACACTGGAAATGGATCTCGCCATGGAACTTTCACGACCTCGCACAATGATTCCAACAACCGTAAAGCCTAATCACATGGTTGAAGTGGTAACGGATGAAACAGCAGAAAGGTTAGTAAAAGATAATGGGAATAAACCACTTATTCTTAATGTACGTAATGCACCCAGTCCTGCCGCAACCGCATCTATGGCTATTGCAGAAGATATTGTGGCATGTGCCAAAGAAAACTTTAAATGGTAAAAAACAAAAACAAAAAAAAAAAACAGAGAAAAGAAAAAAAAAAACAGAATGGTAAATGTCCTTTTTTTTTGCTTTTTCATTACAAAAGGGACAAAGAAATAAATAATTACATATGTATATCTAATCAGCTGTAAAATGAAACTTTTTTTTCTACGTGCGTATTTATTTTTATTGTTATTATTATTATTGTTATTATTATTACTATTATTGTTGTTATTGTTATTATTCACACGTTTTGTGTATAGGATTCATGAAATGTTATTATTATTTTTCCTATCCTTTTTTGAGATATGTATGTTCCAGTGCGAAAGCAATCTTCTCATGGTTACTATGTCTCATACGTCTCTTTGTTTCATTTCTTTTTTTTTTATAATAATTATTACTTTGCGAGCGTCATATTTATTTGGGGCTTAAAAAAACAAACAAAATATTTGGTAATTCAGTGGTGTTGTTGATTTTTTTTTTCTTTTACTTTTTTTTTTTTAAAGCATGCTTCATTTGAAGACTATATTATCCCTTCTGTTTTGAGGATTGGACAAATACATGTACACGCAAACGTTCGAATGTAAATGCCAGAAAAAAAGAATAAAATAAAACAATTTGGGAAAAGTTGTTGTCCTTCGTCTATCTCTTTTCGCATCTTCTTTCGGTCTATGGTCATGAGTTCTACTTATTTTTGTCTTTTCTTAACAGGCGTTTCAACGTTATTATTATTATTTTTATTATTTTTTTCCCTTGACACTTTCTTTCTTATTTTTTTTTTCTTCCTTCTATTCCCCTTTTCCCCCTCTTCTTTTTTTTTCTTATACTTCTCTTTAAGGAGAGGAGCACTAGATGCCGCCCTCTCTAATTACTATCTCTCTTGCCCTGCACCTCGTTCTTCTGCTGTTGTTGCAGCACTTCACTACTATTATTATTATTACTGCGACTGCGACTGAACTCAATGCGTTTACGGTAGTTGTGGTGAAGGAAAGTGCGGTAGAAACACTTCGACGAGCCCCAGTGGGTGCAGTTCTTCAACTTCCTCCATATAAAGTTCGTTTATCTTCTAACTGGACGGTGGTGGAGCGAAGTGTGTGGAGTGGTGAGGCTGCAGAAGAGAATGAGGAAGAAGGACAATTATTACATTGTCGTCTTCCACTACCACAAATGGCTGAGGATGTAGTACGGCTTGAAGAAGAATATGTGCAGCGACATGAAAGTCGTACAAGTGCTGATATTTGGTTATGGTTAATGCGATTAACACAATCGGATGGGTGTATTTTTGGTGATGGTGAAGGGCCACTTACTGGAGTCTCTGAGTGGTATCTACTCTGTCCAAAGGGTGAACTGCGAAAGATGAACAGAACTGCAATGACCACGTTGTTTGGTAATTCCTCTTCTTTTCAAACTGAAAGGAGTCTTCGACGATTCATCCGCCAAACACGAGGTGAAAGAATGAGGAGTCGTAGTGGTAGTAGTAGTGGTAGTGACAATAAATGGAGTTTTGTTATTGGTGCGTATAGGAATCACATTACACGACCACGATGGAATTCAAAACGACGGGTATGGGAATTAATCTATCCAAGTAAACGTATCTGTAATGTCTCAATGACATCATCACAAGAAGAAGAAGATGATGAAGAAGAAGTGTCCATCTTCAGAAAAGATAACGATGAATTATTAACAAAAAAGTTTGATAAAGTGGAAAGATGGGAAAGTGTGATTCGTTTCTATTGTAGTGAAAAACGGAAAAATGATCATGTGCAGCATTGGAGTATTACGGAAGTGCGTCAGGCGTGTTTACATGAAATTTTGTTTCACTCTCCTGTTGTTTGTGAATGGGAACGAGAGTTGGTAAACCTTCATGTGAATCCAATTCCTTGTGTTTCTATTTGAAGGAAATGCGCTGGAGAAGGAGGAGAAATCTGAAATTGTAAATATATCTAGAAGATCATGCATAGATCTCTCTTTCTTTCTTTCTCTGTAAAAGTGTATATGTGGTTCTTATTTGTGACAATTACTTGGTTTCCTTCTTTTCTTTTCTTCCTTTTTTTTTTTTCTTTTCCTGTAGACCCTAACGGAAAAGTTTCCCTTATATACGTATACATATATACGGTATAATAATAGAAAAACCACTATATAAAAGAATTCCACACAGCTATTAAACAGGAGCCAAAAATAGATATTATTATAAGAACTATAACGGCCATATATATATATATATACACATACTCCAAGAAAAAAAAACAACGAAAGAACGAGGAAATAAAATCCAATCCTAGGGTGCACAATATACACTAAAGACTACTCTCTACATACACACACATATATATATACATATATATATATATTTATACAAACACATACGATTTCCTCTACGATGCAGCATAACGAGAATAAGAATGGATCGCCTCTGCAGAAGTTCAAACCCCGTGGGGCGCAGCGGCTGACGGACATTTTAAAACCGGACGTCCTCGACGATGACACGCGGCGGCGTATTGTGCGGGATGTGATGATGGACGCTGGCCCTAACCAACGCAGCAACTCGGAGGGAAGTCACCCGGCGAACTTTCGAGATCGCGTTGCAGGCGGAAACGGGGATCTTCTTAGTGCTATGGCGCAGAGACTAAAAACGTTGGAAGCACAACAACAGGCATATCGTATGGAGTTAATGGAAAAAACGGAAAAACTTTCACGCGCTGAGGCGAGGTATGAATCAGAGAAAAGTAAACGTGAAGAAGTAGAAACTGCCATGTTAGAATTGTATAATGAGAAGGAGGAATTAGAACGACAAGTAGAGGAAATGCATAAGTTTCTTGCCGATTATGGACTTCGTTGGGTAGGTGATAAAAATGATAAGATTAATTCTCGAAAAGGAAGCCGAGGAGGGATATCATCAAGGAAATCAACAACTTCACCGTTGACACCTGGTATTACTGATCCTATTGGAGAACGTTTTGAATTATATGCAGGAAATTATACAAATGCAACTCCAGTAATTTCTCGGAGTCCAACACCAACTTCTGGACGTAAAAGTAATCCTACAATACAGCAAGATCATTTATCAAAGGTTATCGCAAGAAAGGATTCGAGAAATGTGGATCACCCTACACTTCCTGTTTCCATAGATGTTCTTATACGACATGCAAAAATTCTTTCAGATCATGTTGGAACTAAAGGTGTGGTTTCAAATGGAAAACAAGGTGGAATTAAGGAACGTGAAGTAGTACGTATAGTTGTTTATCAAGATGGTATTTGTGTTAATGGTGGACCTTTTAGACCTTTTGGTTGGCCACTATGTGATGCTGTGATAAATGACCTAGCGGAGGGTTACTACCCATATGAATTTAAAGATCGATATCCTGATGGATTTCCTATTGAAGTCATTGATAAAACATCTGTACGATGTACTCCTGTCAGTAGTGGTAGTGGTAATAATAATAATAGTAGTGGTGGTGCTAATCGTCGCGATAATATTCACAGTCTACATCAAGGAGAGAAGAACAGTCACCAACCTCTCTCTCGTGAAGAATTCCTCACTCGATTACCAGCTACACGCATTACACCAGGTGGAAGGATCGTTACAGTGCGAGATAATATTATCAATATGATGGAAAATGGAAATAAAGTCAAAGGAGGAAAAATAGAGAATAGTAATAAGAAAAACTCTGAAGAAAGTACAGTACGACATATTTCTGAAGCAGAAAAACGTACAGAAGAAAATAAATGCAAATCTGATCCAACTAACGGAAATAACGATAATGCTACTAATGGTGCTTTACCACCAAATCGAATTAAGGGACTCGTGGCGGTACTCGTTAGATTCCCTTCAGGGCGAAAAGTTGCTCTGAATTTATCACCTGATAATACCATAGCAGATCTTCGAAAAGAATTAAAAATTGCTTTACCTTCCTTCAACAAGAACTATGATATACGTTTGTCTTTCCCTGCTGTAACCTATAGTGATGACAGGAAAACGCTGCGGGAGTTGGGTCTACTAACAAATTGTACACTTATGGTTCAACCACGTGAGCGTGCTACTACTAGCGTTTGACTTCTTGTTTGTTCGTTTTTTTTTTTCTTTTAATATATATATATATCTATGACAGTGAATACACAGTTATTGTTTTTTTTTTTTCGTTTTGTTTTGTTTTGTTTTTCTATAGTGGGAAAAGGTATCGACAGAGTGAATCACACTTTGTTTACTTCTCTCTGTATATGTGTGACTGTGTTTGCAATAAGTTAGATGTTTTTTTTTTTCTTTTTATGTTATGGGTGTTATTATTTATATCTATTTATAATGGAACGAAATGTATTTCATGCGCAATTCTCCCTAACCATATATTGTTTCTAATGCTGATACTGCCATTGAAATGAGATTTACTCCTTATTACTGTTTTTTTTTTT